GGGGCCCCAGCAGCACAGAAAAGCCCGTAATCTCCATGGTGATGGCACTCATGACGTGCATGGTGTTCATCAGCTTACCGGCTCTGTCCTTGTCTCTCAGGGAGCAGCCAGTGAGAAAGTCGAAGTATGGTGTGTAGGTTATGCGCGGCTCGTAGTTGGCGTCAATGTAGTCAATGGCATAGAGCAGACTGTCCACAAAGTTGAATATCTTGAAGCCGGAGCCGCAGCGCTCCTCCGTGAGAATGTAGTGGAAAACAAGCAGCTCGCTGTTGTTGCCACCATCAGTGACCTCCGGCTGAATGACTCCCGAGGCCACCGTAAGTAGAATTGCTGAAGCACAGACGACAGTCCCACCAAACATAGATGCCTAACTGGCAGCAAGGGCGGCTTTGGCTTCATTTATAGTAACGGCGCTATTAGAATGCCGCATCCCATAAAGGGGTGATAGCCGTTAAAAAAACAGTATCTTGGGTGGGTTGCGACCTATTGGCGGACTGCCTGTGTGGTCAGTGAGTGCGTTAGTGCGGACCTTTTGATGTGACTGCTGGCAGTTTTTGTTTAGACAGAAGATGCCGGCGGGGACAGGACCTAACATGTAGGTCTAGGTAATTCTTTTAATCAGAAGACTGACATGGATATTTTACGGATTTTTCTGATAGAAAGTCGTGTAAAACTTAGCCAACCTAGAGCGAGAGCAAAGAAATTTTGGTTAATAATTTGGATAAAGGAACGGACGTCATTATAATGAACAAATCGGACTACGTAAGGAAAATGCACACCATCCTACAAAAAGACGTCTGTATATTTCTAGTTATGAGGCGTTTAGGGGCCAAACTGTCCCCGCTTAATCGCCTTAAAATATTCGGTTGTTTGTGTTCGTAATTGTTTTTGTAAATATATTTTCACAGAACCTAGACCGTTAAGTAGTGCAAGCTTAGGTAGCTGTGCTTTTAACCCCCGTGCATGCACAAACACATACGATCGCACGGTTAGATTCGCTTATAGCCACCCGCTGGTAAGACGCGACAATAGAAATCCTCACTTGTACGGGAGGTCTTGCGTTTATTTTCGTTACGTCTTAACCGCTCCTTAGCCGTGACAGCAACCCTATACTCAGCCCCGACCTTAACCCTAACTGCAATCTTCATGAAATTTAGCTAAGGGTCACCTATTGTCGTGTCTTACTCGCCCAATCTTTAACAGCGGCATCATCAAATGTGGCCGTTATTGGCTGAAATATTTTGCCATCTAGGTCGTTTTTTTCGCGTACCATCAAGGGCACTAAAGAATCACCTGTAACCCTAACCCTGAAATCCTGCTTAATATATGCTAGTTGACCTGTTAAGGTGTCAAGATATATGTGATTTGTGTAATATAATGAGACTCAGAGGATGCCAGACACATTTACGAGAACGTGCAGTGATTACCAACAGTCTGGTGTTGCGATGGGAATTCAGGATTGCTCCAGCCTCCACTTGGCACCCATCTCTTGGCCCAAGCGCTCACTGAAACCCCATATGGGCTTGAAAAATGCTGTCAGTAACTTTATTTCAGGCGCTGTCAAGCGAGCTACAGGAATAAATTAAGCGGCAAACTGATCTACATCTTTTCAGCCTATCTTTCGTTTCTAAAGAGGATAAGACACAAGAGAAGAAACTCTATCATAAAATACAGGTGGCTTTGAAATAACTTCCAGGGACACTGGTTTGGAGTTCGGGGTAACGGTAGGCTTACATTTTAGTGTGAGGTTAGGCACGGAATTTGGTACCCTATCTGGCACTTTGCGGCAGTGATCATATCTACACAAAGGCAATTGGCAACGTGGTTAGCTGAACATATGCCAAAGTGGATGCTTAGGGGGAAACTTAAATACCTAAGAGTTCATTCCCGAAGCTCTTGGTGGACACTGGCCATACGGTCGACCAAAAGACGGCATTTAAGGTCGTACTTCAGGGCGTCTCCTACGATTTGCGGACGCCGCTGCAATACGGAGAAGAAAAACACAAATCTCTAAGCCGCTGGATCTTGTGATCAACCTCGCATTGTTGTTGTAACGATCGATAAACTCATTCGCTTCCACGCCTTTTCGCTCCCCTTAGGACTAACTGCTACTCTATCCTCTGACTCCTCCCCTTTTAACCAGGCTGGACAGGCTTTCATGAACTGCCATGCTGTGACAACTTCCTCCCCCTCCTCTACCCCCTCACCATGCGCCCAGGCTGAAGACTAATAACTTCTGCTCCCTTTACATATCAATTTTCACTCTTCTAGGTCAACATATAGTTGGGGAGCTAATTTATCTTATTAATAGGCAACGACCGTTTGTATTTGTGCAAGAAATCGCGAAATTATATAACGTCAATAAGTCCTTCTTATCTCGTGAGCTCTGCCTTTTTCAAATTTCTTCCAGGAAAATAATATTTCGATGTTATAAGTGTTCTCGTTTCATCAAGCCAATGGATTTAGTCATTATTATAAAAGTTTCAAATTAATATATTCATACCTGCCAATAATTAAGTTGGAAACTGCTCCGTGCAAACATCCCCACCCTCACATCTTTACTTTTTGTTGGGAGTTGCGCCTAAGCCGACATCTACGACGAAAACTAGATGTTTTTTAAAGAGGACAAACAAATTTACCAACGTCTTATAACCTACTTTACTCGTTATTTTAGCTGAATGGAGTTTTGTCTTCTTTCCCTACTATTTCTTCTCCGCCACAAGAGGCTTTTCGACAGAAAATCTCTAAATGTCGTCCTGACTTGTTATATCGCGTGTCCAGCACTACTTTTTATATTTAAAGACACCAACATTTTATGTCCCCTTGCTTGTACGGAGACAAGCGAATAGAGTGATGTTAGCTCCGATGATGGCACCAAATTTCTTGGGAAATTCAACCGACTTAGGTGGCCGCAAAACTAAGTTAAATGGTGTTGGACATGCTAATCGAGTATTTTCAGACAATTACAGTATTTCGTTTTTTACTTAGCGCTCTCGTCCTTGTCTATTATCAGTTCCTCTTAGTGATGTTAACAGTTTCTGACACAAACATGTCTTTACCTTTGACATTATAGACCAATCCTCCCTATACCTTATTTTACGGTTTTTCAGAAGTTCAGACGCACTTTTGTGTCAAATACAGTAAAATACTGCGCACGCTTGTAGGAAAAGTCAACACAATCTTGACTTCCACGATGGCCTTGATGTAAGCATCAAAGCACGGGTGGTCTAATGCTAAGAAACATTCCAAATCATTCCGAAAACGACAACATTACGTTTAATTTACATTTAAATATCACACGTATCATAATATCGTTAATCGATAGAGTCTTATCAATTAAATTTTGCTCTTAAGTTTAGATAAGCTAGTTAACCAGAGATGTATACAGTACACCACTGTGAGAGTGAAATTACTTTGCTTCACATTTGAATAGCATTTATCTTGGCTACTTTGGACATTAGAGAATTTGTCTGGTTCATCGTGTAACTTTCGGAGATTAAAATTTACAAGATTTATTTGCGCATTTGTGTTTTTCTTTTTCCACTTTACAGTGTCATTTTTTTTACCAGAGACTTACTTGAGATATTTGCAGGGTATCGCAGTTTAAGTGTACTCTGATTAGTAAAACCTTTGTTTCCAAAACACGATTCTTAGGATTTATATCCAAGCCGTACTTTTCCAACAGATGGTTTCGGTAGTATATTAAATCCAACTTACTGTTTTATTTTCACTGTGGATTTCAAAAGCACATTTCACATACTTTTCAATTAAGCAAAGCCTGAAAGACGTCAACTAGTATTCGAAAAGTCTCGCGCTTGATATGTGCCATCTTTTCTGCTTAAAATCACTACAACTAGGCTTCTAGGCATTCTGTTAGTCAGTAATTCATTGCAGTACCGTTAACTCGCTCAGGACGACAAACCTCTAAGTACGACGGATAATATTCTTTCCAGGACCAAACTGAAGTTAAACACAATCTTCTAAAACTGGAGTATAATTTAGCATTCTTTCCCATTCTTCAAACGAAATATAAGTCAAAACTTAGGAGAAGGTCAATAAATATTGTTATTTCCTTTAGTATGGAGATAACCGATGAGGAAAGCAGAAAAACTGACGAATTTTTTTGCAAATTTACGGCAGCAGCTGTTTCTTAAAAATTTTACTGTATGTCTCGCCACACAGAGATTCAGAAAGGCCTGTCCCGATGGTAAGTTGATTGTTTTATTTCAGTAAGAAGTTTTGATTCTCGGCTCCATTTCTGACTGATTCTGACGGGTTCTTGCTGCAATATTTTCAAAAATATTTTTTAGAAAAAGCCCATAGTAACAGTTCTTTTCGGAAGTTCGGCTTTACTATTAAATGGGAGCACCCTATTAAGCAAATTTTTGTATTTTAAAAAACAGAGTCCTATGTCCTGCACCAGTACATTATAATTCAATAAGCAAACTAATAAATAGGACAGTTAGTGCCGACAGGTGGTAAAGACTAAAGTATGAAGCATATCTAAATCGGTGGCAAACTTAAAGCTTTGTCAACTGTGAATGTAATGATGACATGTAAAAGTGACTAGGCCCAAGAAAAGCACGTTGAACCATGTAGATTATATAACTGATACCAATTAAACTATAATTTTGCAGAAAGTTGCCTTTTCATCGAGCGTCCTTTGAGATCTCTCCAAAGGCTAAAATGTGGAAAACAGCCTGGTAATAAGCCGTTTTTCTGCTGCGATTTTATGCTTGTGTTTTTGCAAGCGTCTTGGGCAAGCATAATCGGGCATGTTGGTATGAGGAGGACACCCAGTACTAAAAGGATATTGCAATTAATCTAGATCGAAGCGCATATTTTTACACATTAGTACGATACGGGGGAGAAATGGACATGCTTATTTATAATGCTATTCGCTGACGAAAGGTCATCCATCGACCGAGGAACTCACTCTTTCCGCTCTGCCTTGGGCATCACTCTAAGGCACCACCAAAAGCTTCACAGTCGAGTTGGATCCCAGGGCTGGTCATCACCTGAGGTTGAATATGATTAGCCGATTACCGCTTATTAGCCAGAAATAGCCATTCTAAACTTCCTAGTCTTTGCCGGCGATATTCATCTGCCTAATAATGACATTTTAAAGTTCAACGATTTCCCATTTTAAAATGAAATAGTGTTTTACAGCGCATACAATTTAAAGAAACCGCACCTTTATTTCAAAACTATTTGACAGACTAACTCATTGCAGCCTTTTCGAACGCATGCGGTATTAAGAATCTAAATAAAGTCTATGTTATGCCTTTCTTTACTAATCGTCATCTTGC